CGGGGGGGGAGTGATCAGACAACAGTCAACTGAGTTCATGATAGAGGCAGCCCCTCACTCAAAGATCCACATGGAGACTGAACTTCCAATCGGCCACATCTGAGCAGGGGATCTAGGTCCTCTCCATGCATGGTCCTCTGTTGGTGCATCAGTCTCTGCAGGACCTCCTGGATTCAGATGTTTTAGTTTTGTTGGTCTCCTTGTGGGGCTCCTGTCCCCTCCATGTCTCTCTAATCCCGCTCCTCTCTTTCTCCATAAGACTCTCTGCGCTCTGCCTGAAGTTTGACCCTGAATTTCAGCATCTGCTTTGATCCCCTGTTGAGTGAATCCTTTAAGAGGACTCTCTATAGTAGATTCTCATCCTGTTTCCTCTCTTCCACTGCTTCCAGTGTCTATCCTGTTTGCCATTCTGAATGAGATTTAAGCATCTTCTGTAGGTTCTTCCTTAGTGTTTAGCTTCTTTAGGTCTGTAGATGGCTGTCCTATGTTATACGACTAATATCCACTTTTTAGTGAGTGTATACCACACCTGCCTTTCTGTTTCTGGGTTAACTCACTCAGGATGATCTTTTCTATTACATCCATTTGCCTGCAAATTTCATGATTTTTTTTTAATAGCTGAGTAGTATTCCATTGTGTAGATGTACCACAATTTCTGTATCCATTCCTCTGTTAAAGCCAAAGGCCTTATTACGGACAAATTATCTTTGTTTATCCAAAGAGCCATAAGGGTCATGCCTTCCTTATGAGAGTGAGCCAGAGTCAGATTTGAAATGGAAGAAGGTGATGTAATGTATAAAGAGAAACTATATAATGCAGGGCTGCTAGGCAAGCATGAGGATAACCTCCATAATCTTGTAGTCCCAGAGAACTGAATCTTCTGAAGAAGATCTAGAAGGGACAAGATCTACTTACATCTGACATTGACCTTCGCCCTTTAAGATGCATTCAAACTTCTGGCCTATAAACCTTAAACTACATATTTTTTGTTGTTTTAAGTCATTTTGTTTGTGGTCATTTAATACATTGGAAATAGAAACTAATAAAGTATTAGTCTCTGAAATTAGGGTGATTCTATTTTTATTTACAAGATCTTTAGATATTTTAACCCCATAATTTTACTATAGCATGTCTCTGAATTGGCTATTCAGGATCTGTATTTAGTATGTCTGTTCAATGTGTAGTGTCAAAACTTTTTTCTCATTTATAATACTGGTTTCAGTCTTAGAAGATTCATATCCTCATATATATTAAATCTTCTCTGCATAGTTTCAGTGCTCTCACTTTATCTTGAATGCTGGATCCCACACAGACAAGCTGGAAGCCATATTGAACTCCTAACTTTAAAGACACTGCAAATTCAGTGAGGCAGGCATATCTTAAGCACACGAGCCATGTTAATTCTCCCTCCAGATAAGAACCAGGAAATGGATCCATCTTTGGATGGTGTTTCTTCTTCTTAGCTGAGTTATAGCCATCCTTTGATATCCTCTGACTTATACTGTAAACTATATGGTAACTATACAGTAACAGCGTGGTATATTAGATAGTAGAGAAAGTGAAAGTTGAAGGTAGGTACCTTTATTGTTGATAGAGAGAAGACCTTTGATTTTCCTGTTTCATGTTGTCTTGACCTTCTTAAGTTTTTGAGGCTTGACCATAGTAGACACTCCTTGTCTAAAACACGAGAAGTCCCACCCCTGCACCTCATACACACTGACTCTCCTGTTATGTTTCTTCCTTTTCTCTTACCTAAACAGAGCAAAGCTTGTCATTCCTGCTTCAGTTACTTCAATGTCCTTAAAGTTCCAGGGTTGTGCTATCCATTTGTTAGCACATTTACTCTCAGCCTTATAGAACAGATGACTTTTATATATTATTTTTTAAAATCAACTATTTTTCAGGTATTGAACAGGAATTATCTCTTATGCTCACAACAACACAGAAATAAGATATTTATGGTGGTTTGAATAGGGATGACCCACACAGGCTCATAAATTTGAATGCTTGATCACCAGAGAATGGCACTATTAGTAGGTGACCTTGTTGGAGGAGGTGTAGCCTTGTTGGAGGAAGTGTGTCACTGTGAGTGAGTGTTGGGGTTTTGAATGCTTTTAAGCCAGGCCCAATGTCTCTCTTGCTGCATGCCTGCAGGGAATCATGGAGTTGGCCTGACCTAGCGTGTGTCATAGGTTTTTCGGGTTAGAGTCCATGGCTCCTGAGGTACAATGCACTTTCCAGTTCCTGAGAAACCGACATACTCCCTTGGGCAATGAAGTGTTCACACAGCTTTGTGTTTCTCTGTGGTATTGATTCCCTTAGAAGTCAAGGAAGCATGAAAACTTAACAGGAAAATTGGTCTAAGACATTAATCTTATGTGCCCTGTATAAGTTGCAAATTTCATGGTCTCCTAGCAACTACAACTGGCAATTACCATTATAAACTGTTTCTGACAGAGGTATAAAAAGTCTGATTGCTCTCAATAAAATGGTCACAGCCTCAGTCTTGCTGTGGTCCCTCCAACTTAAGACTGGTTTCATTCCTTGCAGCCATAGTAGGTGACCTTGGCCAAGTAAGTAAGTGCGAGCCCTTAAACCTATCCAGTTGCAGATCTGTCCACTACTTCTCCAGCACCATGTCTGCCTGTGAGAGATCAAAGAATTGGAAATTGTTTTTCTGGGTATTAGTTTGGGGTTTGGAGCACAGGCCTGGGTGAAGGCCAGCCAGGCCACCTGGGAAAAGAACTAGCTTTACTACATTCTTTTCCTGCCCGCTAGAGATAGAGTTGCTAGGAAACTGGCACAAATGGCCAGGCCAGAACTGTTTGTGATCTTGGTGCCTAAAATAAACCAATCATTTCAAAAGTCAGTTTCCCTCACCCAATCATGTAATGCCAAGGCATATAACTCTCTGCTTGCATTTTTTTTCCTTTAAAAGCCTTGTTCCCCTAGACCATGAGGCCACGCTACTCCTCTTCAAACAGGGAGAATGCTGTGACCCAGACTCGAGCTTGTAATAAAACTTCCTCATGTATTTGCAGCAGAGTCGATTTCTGGTGGTCTTTGGGGGTCTCACGAACTGGGCATAACACCTGCATGTCACCATGCTTCCTGACAATGGATTAAGCCTCTGAACCTGTAAGCCAGCCCCAATTAAATGCTTTCCATTATGAGAGTTGCTGTGTTCATGGCATCTCTTCACAGCAATAAAACTTAAACTAAGACACGTATTAATACCTTCACATGATAGATGAGAAAAATAGAATCCTGAATGGCTCAAAAATTTTTCAAAATCACTCAGCTAGCAAATAAGAGTCTTTAAAACTGTAATCTCAACACCATGTTTTCCCCCTTCTCTACCTCATTTTGTTTAAACATTTTTCTCATTCATTGAACTAATGTGTATCAAACTAGAATCACAAGTGTGCCTTTTGAGAACTTACTACAATAGTATAAAATAGGGTTAATAGGGGGAATAAGTGAAGCCATGGTTCAATGAAGAAAAATTGAAGGAGGGAAGATGGTAGATTCAGGAATGGTTCTGATGCTTTTAGTCAACACCGTGGACCAAGGGGATGGGCTTAGCTAGGAAGGCAGACTCTTCTAACCTGATCATGCTATGTAGAAGTACCCATTGTATCCACGTCAAGAAGGCTAGAGGTACAGTGGTTAAGAACATGCTCTTTCATGTCAGAAGTCTTCAGTCTTGAATCTGTGAGAATTTGGTCAAGTTTACTCTGAGGATCTCAAGGTCTTGTATTTATGATAGGAATCACAATAACACTGACCTGAAAGAGTTATTGGGAGGACAGAATTAAACAAGTTTCATAAAGTGGCTAGTATGATGCCTAGAATAGGTTGAGTACATAATACATGACAGTGTTTGTTTGTTTGCTTGTTTGTTTCTGTATTACTAATGAATCAAATACTAACAACATATGTGACATTAGAATGGAAAGTATCTGAGTTAAAAAAATTACTTTAGGCATCCTTAGTATACAGGCAGTGGTGCTGGCAATTACACACAGCAGTTATGGCAGTGCAAATACTTCAAGGTTAGGCAGCTAGTGAGTTGATGGTGGAACTTGGGAAAAATTAAAAAGAACATTCCTGAAGAGAGAAATTCTTCCCTTGTTGGAGAGGGTTACTAGCATGCCAAAATTAAGACAGTTCTGTTGTTTTATTATTCAAAGCATTGAGAAATTTATTGATGTTTCAATTAATATTAGAAGCTAAACTCAACCTAGCAAAGAAATATAACACATACATAGGCCATATCATGGCTTGTTGAGCTCTAACTGTAGCCTTTGGCAGAGAGGGAGAAAAAGCTGTGGAACCCTAAACATTACCAGGGCCAGAACAGTGGATACAGAAAGAGAAGAGTGTAAAGATTTCAAAAGGCAGAGAATAGAAAAGGTGAACTGAGGGAAGGGAGGAGGGAAGGGAGAGGAAGAGGAAAGAAAGGGAGAAGACAGGAGAAGAAAGAAGGAAAGGGAAGAAAATTAAGAGAAAGGAAGGGAGGGAATGGAAGAAAGGGAAGAGAAGAAGGGAAGGGAGGTGGGAGGGAGACACAGAGGCTGAGAATGAAGAGCACATAGGGAAGAGAGAGTCCTTAGTATCATCAAGGTGGCACCAAGAACCCTGTGGCCCTACTATGTCACAGATGCCACTCATACTTATGACCTCCTTTTGAGATAGCAAATAAGTACTTCTAGGCAGAGGGGACATAATCCTCAGAAATCATCCCAGGGCTAGATTCGAGGTGAAAAGCCCTATGTGAAAGGTCTGTATGTATGTGAAAGGGTTCTGCATAACGCTTGAGCTGTGAGGAGGGGCACGGACTTCCAGCATCTTTGCAAAAGCAAAGATGAACTTTCCCAGCTCAACCATCCCCTGGACAGAGGCAGGTAGGAAGCCAGAAAGCTTGTCTCTCCTCCATGCTTCTGAAGGATCAGCTAATCAGGACATGTTAAAAAGAAACACAAAGAAAAACAACACACTAACCATCAGAAAATTCCAGGGTCTTTTATTTCACACGTGTAAGTACAAATAATATTATTATCTATATTGTTAACATTTAGATTTATTCTCTCTGAGAGCCAGGAATGAACTGAGTACAAAATTATGGCTTAAAACAGGGAAACCACTTGAGAAACTGAAGAACATTTTTTGATTGTCCTCAAGACTGTACCCCTATAGCACCCTGTAAACTGAAAGTCATCAGAGAAGGGTGGGGAACTGCTCTCAAAAGAGTCACCAAGAAGCCTGAGTGAGGGTTACATTAAACATGTGGGATCTTCAGCTGACATTATGAACACAATATCCTAAACTTTCAGGCATTTTACATTTTTGTCATGTTACAGGGAAGAAGCAGGATGCGGAAGTAGAAAGTCATTTGTCGAAGGTCACTTACTTAGTGACTGGGTCAAATTTGCAATTTCTGACACCTAATTCCTCACTCTGTTCTCTCCCTGTGAATCTCTTTTTCATGTAGAGCACAGGGTTAATTGTTTCTTTGAAGGAAATGATAAGGGAACTAAAACAGAGACCACATATGGTGGTAGGTAGGGGATAGTATCCCTGAGTGGCCAGCAGGGGCCAGAACAAAAGAAGCAGGCCAGGTGTGCTCCAGAGGAGTGAGGTTGCAGAGCAGAAACCATGGTGTTCAGGACAACAACTGACAGGACAATGGGGCTTAGGCTACGCCTGTACATTGCATATCCATAAAAAATACAGGCACAAGCCCCAAAGTTCAAAAACAAAACATTAATTGTCTTAAATATTACCCATAGTTATGAACGTTTACTTTTCCAGCTGTCACGTGTTAGGTAACAACAACTTTGCACAATATAGTCAGTAACAAAAACTGAACTCTACACACATAGATCTCCTGAGTCACCAAGACAGAGATCACAGAATATCTTGCCCCTAACAGATCATGTAACACATTTAGCCCATAGCGGGCCTTCCAGAAGTAACAGCTGTGCTTTCATCTCATGCACAAACCCTTTTATGTAGCATTTTTTACTCAGCTTCTTTTAATAACATATTATAACAGAGTTGGAATACAACTATGGATAGATGCATAAGAGAAAGCATAAAATTATCAGACAAAAAAAAATCCAAATATAACTGAGCTCAGTCAGTATAAGGATTAACAGCCTTCAAACTTCCAGGAGGTTCGAGAGATAAGTGAACTGCTGTGTTGTGGCATAAGGCAATCCTTGTGGGGAATCAAAACCATCTAGAAAGATTTTTGTGATGTGTTATATCTTCTATTGAAAATGGCTTAAAATACTATATGGATGTGTATTTTAAATTATCAAAAATTTACATAAAAGTTTTGGAAGCGAGAACTTCCAAACCAGTCTTCTTCAGACAGTGAACTCATTCCCAGACTTTATTCTGAGACCTCCAGTTCATTACTATCTTGTATAATAAAAATAACTCTCAGGATAAATGATCTCTCACACCCTGTACAAGAAACAAAGCTCCACTGGTTTTCTTTACATCACTGATGAGGTGCTTTGGTGGCATCATCGCTCCTGGATACTTCTTTGAAGGGAGGAGTTTTCTATTATGTGTTTTTGGTGGCCAGGAAAGAAAAGTGGTAACGGGAGAATGTCCGAGTGCACAGTATCACTTAAATAGTTGTCTTCAGGCCCTGGTTTCCACATGGCGATCTTCTTCCTGAGCTCCCATGAAATGAAAAAGGACTTTAGGCAACATGTAAACATTGATCCCCTTGACTTTGGAGAGAACACTTCAGCTCCCACTGGTTGGTGGGCACGACCCTTTCTAGATTTCATAACCCCATCCCTTGCTCTGTCTTTTGACAATGCCAAAATTCTAGAAAATAGTAATCAAGTGCCGTTTTCAGTGACAGAAGTTTATTACAGTCATCTTCTGACTAACTGAAAGTCATTGTTTTTCATTCCCAGAAGAGCTCTTATCAGGCTCAAGACAATTGTGGAAAAGAGAGGTCAACTGTCATGTAAGACACTCAATATCCCTGAGTGAGGACGTCGGGTAGGATCTGCATTTGGTCACAACTCAGAAAGTTGAGAAGGATCGACTCATGTCTCCCAAGAAAGAACCTTTGTCCTGTTCACACCTCGGGGTGGAATTCACAGTGGCACTTTGTTCATGGTGCTGCCGTAAGATCTTCAGTGGGCACAGAATCCACCAGGAGTTAGCTGGACCATAATCAGCTCTCCGTCATTTATCTGGAGGTGTTCGCAGGAAATATCAGGAGCATCTACAGTAAAGTAAACTATATCCTTGAAAGCCAAAGAGGCCACCACAGGGAAGTCAACCCTTTGGCCATTGTTCAGCATTGGTATAGAAATGGGACTTCGACCCTTCCGGAAATGAAGGTTGATTTTGACCTCCTGGAAAAAGGAGCCCTTCATGTAGATGAGATAAAGCCCATCGCAGGTGATGGCAACTGAGTTGTTCTGCACCTCCATGGTTTGATACTCATTCCTGGGTAAGCTGATGAACAGTCTCCCTTCCTCACATCCTAAAAAGAATTGAAAACAAGATTATTCCTAAGCCAAATATGAGATGAGAACCTTGCAGTACAGCTAATCAGGTAAAGAAAGACATTGGAAGAAACAAAAGTATGGGAGCGCTGTAGTGTACCGATGCCTGGAACCAGCTGTACCTATGCAGCAGAGGAAAAGGCAGAACCAATGTCAGTCTTCAAGAGTGTATAAGCTGAGGTTGGGAATCAGAGATGAGAGGTTACAGCCATTGTCACCTCGGACATTTGGCAGAAAAGACAAATTCCAATATCTCCTGATTTTTCAAAAACAAGAAATAATGGCATCTTCAGTGATTACTCTCCAGATGAGTGCATGGACTGCAACAAAGGTTGGCAGGGGTGGGGTGACACGGTCTGTGTTGCCTTGGTCCTGTCCATCTCTAATTAGCTCGACTCGAAGTAGCTGCCCTTAATCATTTCCTACAGCTTTCCACCTGACCATGAAATGCCTATTTTCCACATGCCCATAGGAATGCCTTTGCTAACAGGAAAGGACAGGCCTCTCCCTACTGCTGCTCCCCAAATTAATAATTCTTACTTTGTGCCAGGCTCAGGAGCTGTACTTTGAATCAAAAATGAGGATGACCTATTGAGGGCAAAATGTGTTTCCCATTCAGCTGGGAGAACTTAATAAATCCTTGAAAACTCATATAGAAACTCCTGGTGGTTGGTTGGCCATGATCAAAGACCTAAATGATTCTCTCTTGATCAAAGTATCAGGTTTTCCTCATCTATGGCCTCCCCCAGCTCTCATTAAGGTGTCATCATGTTACAGAGTACCAGGTGTCTTACAGCCAGATAGCCTCTTAGAATCTATAGCCAAAAACAAAATGAAATTCCTACCAAAAATGATGTATCTGGGAGGGTTAAAAAAGATATGTTAAGTACAGAGATAGGCACTTCTTTGGTTACTGATATTTTAAAAAAATACTTAGACTCCAACAATTTGAGGATGCAACACTTTTCTAAGGGAAATGATAGATCCTGTGTTCTGGGGGAAATTGAGAGACTACAGAAAAGAGCCTATTTTAAAAAAATAAGTATAAGGCTGCAGATATGGTTCAGTTGGTAAGGTGTCTGCTGGATGTGAGTTCAGTTCGTCACACCAAAGAAGAAGAAGAAGAACAACAACAACAACAGCAGCAGCCACAACAACAACAATAACAAGATGAACAAGAACAATAAGAACAAGCAGCAGCAGCCAGGCACAGTGACACAGTGATACTAGACTGTAAAACACAGCTCTGTCCCTGAAGCTTGTTAGCCAGCCTGTGTGGCTAAACCAGTGAGCTCCAGGCTCAGTGAGAGACCTTGTCTCAAAGTATAAAATGAAAAGCACCTAAGGAAGACACCCAGTGTCGACCTCTGGCCCCCACATGCACATAAACACACACGTGTGCTCATCAACACAAACACACATGTACCACACAGATACACAAGATAAGTACACAAAGATCAATTAAACTTTTGGTAATACTTACTGGTAACTTGTGTTCTGAGACTCTGGATTGGAGGGTACTTCACCTAAGGAAGGGGGAAAGATGAATATTTAGGAGAAAATGTGAAACGGCTACAGCAGCCCACAAAAGACGTGGCTTTTTCTTTGGGGATTTGACGCAGACCTGCTACATTGTATCACTATACATCTCTTCCAATGGGGGGGGGGGTGCTATTCTGCCCTTCCATGCAAGCATCTGAAATCTGAAGTCTTCATTTCTGCCCCACTCTTCTTTGGTATATTTCATTAATATACTATATACTAAATATTAGCACACACACCCCCAATTCTCCATTTAAATAACGCACTTAGAGACACACCCCAGAGACACTCCCAGCACGAATTAGGGGGAAGTTCTAGAGGATTTCTGTGTGCTTTCTCTTCTATTGTGTGACAGGAATGAACACGTACTGTTTTCAAGGGTCCATACAACCTGTTCTAAACCTTCAGAATGCTTGAATGCCATGGACTTTCATTTTTTTGTTATATTTATTTATTTTGTGTGTGAGAGTGTGTATGCACATCGAGTGCATATGTGTGTGTGTGCATGTGAGTTTCTATATGTATGTGCGCATGCATGTGTGTGTGTATATGTGTGTGTGGTTGTGTATGTGTCCAAGTTGGTCTGTGTGTGTGTGTGTGTGTGTGTGTAGAGGTCAGAAGCCAACTTTCAGGAGTCAGTTTCTCCTATCATGTGAGTTCAATATACCAAGTCCTTGGACTCAGTGTAGACGTCGTCTCATTGATTAGTTTTATGTATTATTTGTGTGTTTGTGTGTGTGTGTGTGTGTGTGTGTGTGTGTGTGTGTGCAATTTTGCAGAATCAGTTCTTTCCCTTCACCTTTACATAGTTTCAGGGGATCAAACCCAGGTTGTCAGGATTGGAGCCAGTGCTTTTACCCAATGAGGCATCCCACCTGCCAAATTAGCTGGTTTTAGGCTTTAGGTCACTCCCTTCTCTTCACCAGCTTGAAAACCCTAACATGAGTCAAGTCAGTCCACGCAGTAAGAAGTAAAATAGTGAGAAGAAGCTCAGCAGAGAAAAGCACACAGTACTAGCCAAAAGCAGATGGAGCAAAGTTGTAACAAAGGGGCAGAACCGTATGTAAAGTGTATTCCTGTCTGCTAAAATCAGAAACATTCCTGTGTGCACTCAGTATATCTCAAAGAGTGCACCAAGAAGATGGGTGCAGATGCGGACTCTGAAAAAAAAAATTAGAAGCCTGTGGTCAGGAGTGGTGGGGCCCCTTCCTACAATTTTGGAGGGGAACTATATGGTGTATTCCCTATTCTAACAAAGGGAACAGGGGGAAAATATCCACTATTCCTGCCAAGAACAACAGCCACAGGCTATTCTTGGCAGAATGTCTAGATTGGAGGCATGGGAGAGATTTGTTTTCATGCCTTGAGCAGTGGAATTCCTGCTACCCACTCTCCTGGCAGACTAGGAGCCACAGGCAAGAGGATTTCACTGGGGACTCCCCACACAAATGAGGAATCCCCTACTTCTCTTTTAAATCTGATCACAGGCCTTCCTGGGCTACAATGAGCAAGCTGCTTAGGGAGGTGGGAGGGTTTTCCTGAGCCCTGGGCTGCAGAAAAGCTGTGACGAAATGCGGTGAGCATGGAGAGAAAAATGTTGACTTGGGTAAGAATGTGAGTGTAGGCTCCCACCTCTTTGGACGCTGTTCCTCTGTGCTTTAGGAAGGGTTCTAGAAGAATACCTCTCCAAAGGCCCATTACCCCCAGCATCATAATCCCCCTAGACAAAAAAAAAAAAAAAAAAAAAATGGCCCAGTGCTCTGGGGCCCTCCTGTGCTGGTTGGTACCTGTACTCATTGCCAAAAGTGCTCTGTGTAGTGGCATAGGGCTCAGCACAGCACTGGGCTCCTGTGCTCTGATACCAGAGCACAAGCAAGTCCTGGGTGAGTTGAGATTAAGATTCCCAACCTCCCTGGGCATCATCTTCAAAAATTACTACAACACTTAGGGCACCCATGTCAGGATCAGCGTCCCATGCTATAGCTTTCTGTGATACATAAACTTAAACTCCTCCCTCACCCCAAACAAAAACAAATAAGTAAACAAAAAAAAATAAACTAGTGAGTGTGGTAGTACGCACCTTTAATCCAAGCAAAAGAGGCAAAGGCAGCTCTCTGATCTCAAAGTCCTTGTGACTTGATCCTTTTTTTTTCTTGTTGTCATGTTGGAGATTGAACCCAGGGCCTTTCACATTCTAGAGAAACTGCTTCACCAGCCCTTCTTCTAAGCCACAACTCTAACCCTTCTAAAAAGCTTTTTATTTTTGACAGTGTTTTGTCAATTTTTAACTCATTAGGTATATGTGGTTTAATTATTTTTACTGACGTGTGTGTGTGTGTGTGTGTGTGTGTGTGTGTATTCTGTCCTTTTGTTGTTCTGATGTTGTAGGGGTAACCATGACCAAAAGGGCATCTTCTGGGTCTGAGATATGGAGAGGTAGCCAGGAAAGATATGTGACCTTCTCCACTGGTTTGATCTACTGCAACCCCATGCAACCCCAAACACCCTGTTCCTTCTCCCAAAGGCCACCTACAGTGGAAATTGGCATATCCTCACAAGTCTCTTAGAAACAACAATTTAGTGGATTCAGGTAATTCTGTGAACTGGAAGAAGACATCCTTCCTGCTCCCAGAACCTTTTCTGCTCTCGTTCTGCACACCTGATGCTCAGCGCCAGCTGCCCAACTGTGCAGAGACACACTCAAGTGTCCAGACACATACCCAACTGCCCAGAGAAATCCCTATACCTCCCAGAGTCACCCCATCCCTACCCAGAGACACATTCAACTTCTCAGAGAACATCTCAGAGTCATCCCCTCCCTGTGCAGAGACATTCCCACATTTCCCAGAGACACTCTACAATATCCAGAGACACTACCCAGAGACAGTCCATGCAGTTCAGACACATTCCCACAGTTCCAAAGCCAATGTCATGCCTGGCCTGGCTGCAGCCTCATTCTCACACTTCACACATATCTTTTTGTGTCCTACGATTAAACCAACTCTTTTCTTTAATCCTCTTCCCCTTAGATGAGGAACCTGATCGGGCAAGACAAAGAGCAGACTTGACACACTCATATTTAGCTCAAATTCTCTGGTTTCCTGAATTTGGAAAATACTTAAACCATTTCTTGGCTTTACTTTCATACACACAGTGATAAGGCTTCACACTATAACTGGAATTTTCCAAGAGCTAACAGTGTACTTGGGAAAATAACGTGGCAGTTTGCTGACACATGGAAAGCACTCAGAAACGCCTGCTTGATCTCTTCTCCATTTCCAGAAGCTACCTATCTGTTTTTGCCCATCCGAAAGAATCACAACCTCATTCCCAAATAAAGTCCTTAATTCTTTTCAGCTGTATCTCTGTGCCAAATATTTGAAGTCATTTTGTTGATACAAAAACTTACAGAAGCTTTGGTCCTTAACTGCCAGTACTTGGATGCACCTTCTGGAGAAGGTGGAACTATGGAGCAGCCACCAACTATGGAGTGACCATTATTTTTAGTGCTAACAAGAAGTGAGTCATCTGGCCATGAAAAGCTGTGGAGGAAACATCAACTCTGTATATCTGTTAAAATGATCCATCAGAGAAGGCTACATTCTGTGTGATTCCAGTTATAAGAAATTCTGGTTGAAGCAAAGCTGCCATAAAAGAGCAGGGAATGCCCAAGGTCAAGAATTTGGGAGGGCTGAGCAAGAGCAATACAGGAGATGTTTGGGAACAGCAAAGCTATAATGGCGGGGGGGGGGGAATATGTCATTATACATTAGTCAAATCAACGGAATATAGAAAGTACAATATCAAAAGTGAACCCTATACTAAAACAAAATCACTCTTGACTGATAATATCTTCAATGGCTGTAAGTCTTAGAATATTTGATGTGACCTTTAGAAAACTGAATTAACTTGATGATTTTTAATTTCCCATCTGTGAAGTAGGGATAGAAAAAATCTATTGTCTCAGAAGGCTGGTGTGAGGTTGCATAAGATAATATGTGTGAATAGTTAACACTTTACAGAAAATATTTAAGGGGTCAACAAATATCAGCCATTATTCTTTGATATACAGAAAACAAAATCCATGCCATTTTTATAATTTTTCTACATAATACTATATTTTGTATATGGAAAAAAGGAGAATATATTAAAGAACAAAACAAGACTATCAAAGTTCCTGAATCAAGTTCTCTAACTATCTGTTATCCAGAGAGATCCTGGGCCTTATGAGAAAGTGTACCAGAAAGCAATCCAAAGACATCTGGTCTACCCCTACATATTAACCACTGTGTCTGAATACCAAGAAGAGCAAAATCCTCTTGAGCATCTCCGGATGCTAAGGAAACCGGGAGATGTCAAAGAGCCAGAGGATTTCTGCCAACCACAGCTTACAGAACAGTTTCTTTATTCTACAAAGTGTGAAGGTCTCTCATAATAAGTGAAGAGCAGACCCCAGAATCAGCTAGCATTGGGTACAGCCCTGAGGTTTGAATAAGATTGTCTTAGAAGCCATCTTCGTGTTGAAGATAATGCCTCAAAGGAAGAAATTAAAGCCCATAGAAGTAAAGAGAGTTAATTCCTGTCCCTGATTCTAGTATAATTTTATTATATCATCCAGTGATTTTTTTTCCTTTGTTTAGATTGCTAGGGATTGAATCCAAGGCCTTGCCCATGTGAGGCAAGTGCTATACCCACTGAGACATAACCCCTGCTCTTTCTTTTTTATTTTAAGAGATGGTCTCACTAAGTTGCCCAGGCTTGCCTAGAGCTTACTTTCTATCCCAGGATATCCTTGAACTCTTGATCCTCCTCCCTCAGCCTCCTAACTGGAAACTATAGCTCTATGCCACCAGACCTGACATCAATTTTCCTGCAAATATGAAATGAAGAGAAACAGCCTTGTAGATTGTATTACTATTCCACTCCTGTGTTCTTGTACCCACTTCAGCACCAACCTTGAAGAAGAAAAGTTGCCACACAGCAG